CGCTGTGTCACTGGGGGGGCTTCTTTAGAATTGAATATAATATGTTGTAAATGTTTAACAATCTTCGCAATTCTACTTTCGAAACTTTTACTGGTAAACAATGATTTATAGAAATAATAATATGACTCAACATAATAAACATTATACACAAATATAATGTTGTAATCGATTATACAATTAGGTTTGTAAGAAGGAAATACTTTAATTGGAAAAATTTTATTTCCATTGAATATTTGCATAGCGCTACACAAAGGATGTCTGAGCTGGTCGTTTCTAATATTCAGCTGATAGATTAGAGGGAAGACATCATATTCTCATCATTCTTAAAACACAATCACGCCCTAGAGTGCAGATGGAGATTTTACTGGCACAGGACGTGAACCCCTTACTTCACTGTGTGGTACACTAATCATACAATCCCTGACCTTGAGTTTTACGTTTTTATAGTTGAGGATGTACTTGTTTTCCATACCGTGTTTGGTTACCACTGACATATCTGTATTGTAATATCTGATATATCTTTCATGTTAGGTCATTCAGATAGAAAAAGGTCGCTTGGTTTCTCCTAGGTAGCGATTTAAGTAGTCACAACTCGAGGTTGTCTTCACCCGGTTAAGAATTGTTTTGAGAGTAGAGAGAGTTTTGAAAACAGTATTAATGTTGTGTTTTTTAACAGACGCCTTATTTTTTTACCCCACTATTTGATACGTATGCTAAGATAATTATTTTATTCTTTTGTGTAAGTTTGAAAGGTGAGAATTGTTGCTGAGAATGGATTTTACTGTGTAATTGATCAATTTCTCAAGATAATTTTATTCTTCATGAGCGTTTCTCGAGGAAACTCTACTTCTGCTGCTATATTTTCCGTTGGTTACTGTTTTATAATGCCTTTTTGACTTGAATTTGGTAGTTTGATTTGTAATTTAAATATTTGTAAGATGATGTTGTAAATCTTGTTTGAGTTTCATCTTGATCACTTTCATATCCAGGAATGGTAAATAGTTGTTGGATATAATTTCAGAATTGAAGTGTGTAGCTCGGCCTTGGTTGTTGAGATGATGAGGAATTTCGTGAAAGCTGTGTAAATGAAAGGATCATTAAACGAAAACATACCTTTCGAATCTTCGGACATAAATGTCTCTTAAAACTGAGGGCGTTTAGCCACACTTCACTAGAGGCTTGAAACAACGCTAAGTTCGTTTCTTCATCTATGGCAAGTATTTAGGTTATAAGAAACCAGGGGCGCTCAGGAATAGAATTTTTTTCTTCAATTTGCACGTGGTTTAGAAGATGTGGTCGTAAATCTTCGGGAAAACAAATAAAATAAAATAAACAGTTTAATCTCGCCCCAGTCAGAAAACATCCACAAAGGAAACCAGTAAAAAGCCCAAACAGGTTCTTATGAGACTTCTTTGCTCTAATCAAACTCCAATTTATTTTGCAAAACAAAGAAGATCACAAGATCCAACAACACGGGAGGGATATAAAAAAAAATCCAATGCCCAAAAACTTGATGTCGGAGGGAAGGGATGTGAGTAATCCAAGAAACGCTCACTTTCACTGGTCTGGTGCCAAATATTCTACCCAATCAGTGACAGAACTGATACCTAAACTGGGATAGAAAATCGTGTCATGATAAACATACATGAATTAAACAACTCATAGAAAACACTGGTTTTCGAACATAATGAGCGGTAATGAGATACGTATGTAATTTGACAGGAAATTCGTTGTTTTAAACGAATAGCTTTTGAGCATTGAGTTTTGTTTGGCATCTTCGGTGTCAGATTTTAGAAGATTACTCAGCTTTTGGTTGATATCACTCGAAGTAGATGTGAATGTCTGGTTGCGTCTGTCCGTTCTTCATTCTTATAATTGTTATCTGAGTTCGACGGTTGAACTGGGAGGGTATCTCTGGTGGTAAGAAAACAGCATTTTCTTCCTCGACTGCGGTTGGTCTTAAAGGATAAAGAGTTGATTTATATCCTGATTCTGATAATTATTTTCGGCAGGGGCCTGCTTAATTGACATGCTCTACAGAGTGCTGTAGTAAGGTCAGAAGTTTTCTCTCGGTATGGTGTTTTGGCCTTGGATTGAAAGTAATCCAAGAAACAACACCGTAGAAAAATTTTCTCGTCTATCTGATTGGAAGTGATTACTACCTTCCTGAACAGTGTATACTACTATCTTCCTGAGCAGGGTATTTCTTGCAGTCTTCCTAGAAGTGATTCTCTGAACGGCGTGTATTTTCGATTATTTATTCTTTACTAGTGCTTCTTTCACTTTTTGAGCTATTAGTAATGGATAGATCCCAATACTTTAGAAAAATACTGAATAAGCTGGAACTGCTAACTGGTGGATGGCACTACACTTGTGACTCAGAGTTCGAAGGGGAACACAGGTATGCAAAGTATTCTGGTGATCGTGATTGAACGAAGATTCCACCTTGATAAAGTTACTTGATTTTCTTATGAAGGACTCTGGCGTTGGGCTAATACTTCTTAATAAAGTCTCAGTATTCTTGAAGGTGTAGGTGACAGATAATCCTTCGATTATTAATGGGATCATCGTGATCTTCTTTGTGTCGTCTCTGTGTGACAATTTTCTGTGTCTCCGCCAAAAACAACACGGATATGTCAAGTTACTGATTTTAAGCAGAGCCATTCAGTGTAAGGTCTTGTGCCAGGGATTCTTCTCGCTAGTGGGAATGTATCTTTATACCCTATTGGCCAATGTGTGCCCACCTCAAGATCGGCAGACCTATTATAACAGGCTTCTCGTCTGCCGCCATTCGCCTACAATGTCAGGGAAGACAGGACTTGGAACAGGAGTTCTGAACTGATCAATGTATTACCTACAAACAATAGTACAGTACACTAGGTGGAAGATACCTACAAACAATAGTACAGTACACTCGGTGGAAGGTACCTACAAACAATAGTACAGTACACTCGGTGGAAGATACCTACAAACAATAGTACAGTACACTCGGTGGAAGATACCTACAAACAATAGTACAGTACACTCGGTGGAAGATACCTACAAACAATAGTACAGTACACTCGGTGGAAGATACCTACAAACAATAGTACAGTACACTCGGTGGAAGGTACCTACAAACAATAGTACAGTACACTCGGTGGAAGATACCTACAAACAATAGTACAGTACACTCGGTGGAAGACCTCTATTTTCAAGCAGAAGAAGAAGAACAGGGAAACGACGCATAAATAAAAAGTGCACCAAATTATACTAATGTCATATTATGAAAGGTTGCTGCACTCTTCGGGGGATCAAACGCATCAAATACTGCCTTGAGAAGCTTCATGAATCATACTAAACTCTCAGATCCTGAGGAGTTCGTTCTCACTAATCTCCCGGTGAGACAGTGGCAAGTTTACGGACTTCCAACGTTAAAATCCGGAGTTCGATTCCACACGATGGACACAGTATATAGCCTAATGTGGCTTTGTTCTGAAACACAACAACATTCTCACTCGCTTTAGCTTCTTACCACATGCTGACCCAAAGGCTGAGATAACCACTGTAGTTCGACAATACCGCGGCATCTGCTATTAACATTATGATAGCTCTCAATGGCACAATCACCACTGCAAGTTACAAACCATCCAGATAGCCCACCCGAAGTTACCCCCACAAATCCGAATCTCCAACGTGTACAGGAAATGTGTCAGAGCACATAACGCTGAATATTAGAAGTTCCTGCATGTCTGACAACATTCATTTATATCCAGCAGTAGAAGACTTCAATATCAGACATCCCAGATAAGATGCAGGTGAAAACATTAATGTTGAAGGTTTATAATCTGCTCTCCACAGTACAGCCACCAATCTTATACTGATAAACTCGGGTGAAACAACAATTATTGCTAAGTGCCAACAGTCCTATTGAACCCTCACTTCTCACCAACATTTACTGGGAAAACAGTAAATCCCTAGAGAATCATATACCTAAAATAGAAAGGAAGGTTAAGAAGCGTATGAACACATCCTATGTTAATACAAGTATTAACCAAATAAAGTATATCCTCCATACCTGAAGAAGGCAGACTAATTTTAAGTTAAAACATGTTAATCTGTTCTCTAGATATAATTGTCATTATGTTTATAAATATTCGCTGTTGGTCAATTTATTATTGTATTAGCATAACATGCTTTGGTAGACAAGTATTTTGTTCATAAAGAAATGTTTATGTATATGTGTGTGTAATAAAAGACGTAATTGACATAATCTGAGGTTATATATTTCATATAGAATATTTGTATCGCAGATGTGATAGAAGTACTAAGTTATTTAATTAATGTAATGTATTGAATTATTACGAGATAAGGTTTATCTTTGTGTTTGAATACGTATTGATAATTGTAAAATGTATGCCTTTTAATCATTAAAACTGTATCCAGTTGTAATTAAAGTTTTGATAGGGAAAGTAGAAGTAAATACATTAACGCATCAATGCTATACAGAACAACATGATTAATTTTTTCCTTTTCCGATGTTACGTTTTATATAAAAATGATGAAAATATAAGTTCGTTAGATATGCACTCCAAATTATAACCACTGACAGCATAAAATAATGACATTTATAGTAAATTCAAAATCTTACGAAATCACGATATGTTTTAATAAAAGTATTACAAACCAGTAATATTGTATCAAACAACAGGAAACATTTCAGAGTACACACAGTACACTTATTTAAGTAATATAATTTTTCTTTACATATTTTCTTGAAACATGGTTTGTGGAATCGCATTGGAATATTAAGGCAAACCACAATACTTCTTTACAATTGTATTTAATTGAACTATTAAGCACAGAATACAACAAAAAATGCCATACCAAGAGTAGAAAGCCACCCAAAGAAAGCGTCGTTTACAACAAAAGCATGTCCCCCCCCTTGAAACTACAGAGCATATTTGGTTGCGAATGTCTGAAACTACAGAGCATATTTGGTTGCGAATGTCTGAAACTACAGAGCATATTTGTCTTTTTGCTTCATGTCTACACGTAACATGATTTCGAAAGAAAGACAAATTATTGTATGATAACAGAAACGTAGAAAGTACAACTTCGTTGCTTAATTTTAAATCATTTGGGTGAGTATATGAATATTTTCTTGTGTAAATACTTGTTTATTAAGGATTTTTAACGTCAGAACGCAACATTTGATGGTGTAATATCTAAAAAATATATTATAGGAATATCGTTTTACGAAAGTATGCTGAACAGTGTTTTTATAAAATATTTTATGAATATAAGAAAACAAATTATAGTATATGTTATCAAAAATTAATGAAGCATAAAATAAAAAAAGTTTAAAATGTATTAAGTATAAATGCTTGATTCCTCAGCGAAACAAGTTTTTGTGACCACAGATCGTTGTTTTACGACAGTATTAGATAAATCACCACCCGAAAAGTATTGAATTTAGACATTTTTGTATTCTCTCTATACCAGAAGGCCCGGCATGGCCAGGTGGTTAGGGCGCTCGACTCGCAATTTGAGGGTGGTGGGTTCGAATCCCTGTCACACCAAACATGCTCGCCCTTTCAGCCGTGGGGGCGTTATAATGTGACGGTCAATCCCACTATTCGTTGGTAAAAGAGTAGCCCAAGAGTTTGCACTGCTAAATTAGGGACGGCTAGCGCAGATAGCCCTCGTGTAGCTTTGCGCGAAATTCAAAAACAAACAAACAAACAAAAAACAAACCAGTTTAGATCTGTTGTAGTTTTTTTATATTACTAAATGCTTATATATTCATTCTTTGAAACCTAAATTAGGATAGCTAAACAACTATTGAAAAGTTAATATCACAATAAAATGTTAAAACTGTCTATGTTGTTACAGATGTTCAATATTTCTTCAATGAAATAAGTATCGATAGGGGTGTATTAAAATATATAACACTAGTTACAGTATATTCAGTCAAAACATTTCTGTTGTATTCGTATTTTAAATGTATATATATTCAGTTAAAACATTTCCATTTCATTGGTATTTTAAAATGAATTAAGCTTTGGGAATAGAGTTTAATATAAAACTGACATAAAACTGAGCGTTCTAGTTTATATTCTTTAAACTTCTTTGAAGTGTTTCTAGTTTTGTACAGGCATCATACAGAGTTGAAATATGTGACTAAAATATAAAATTAAAAGCTAACGATTTCATGTTCTTGAATGCAATATTACGTAGCATATTTCATAAAACTTCTGTAATATTCTACCTGCTTTTTTTACTGGATAAAATGGACTATCTCAACATAATTCATTTGTCCTACGCCACAGCATGAAAAGCGCCTCCATACAAACTTTGTAGTTATAGCATTCACATTTTCTGTGGTTTTAAGAATTACACTGTTCAAAATATATATAAAAACAGTAATTTACATACCAATACAAGTAGAATAGGTACAAATGCTTAAAAGGAGCTCGATATATCTTGAGTTAAAAGGGGTTTGTGTAGAAAACTATTAGAAGCTTATATGCCATATATCTCTCCTTTCTTCTACAACAACAACAAAACCTTATCAATTACATCAGTTCTCAAATAAGAGAAGCAATGGCTGAATTAGGTATTAAATCTAGGGAGCAGTTACCGACTGTTTAAGGAAGAAGTTCGTAACTCTGAAGATTAGAATTTCTTCTGAACATAACAACCATATCATTCAGTCTCCCTTCATTCCTCCTGCGGTAATAAAGGAATGTAAGCAGCGTCACTTGTGCAATAATTATTATAAAAGGCATTACAATGGCTGCTTTTTTACCAGTTGATACACCTTCAATTCTTTTACAGGTTTCCTTGGTCGTTCCTTCGGAAAACGTTGTACGTTCACTAGTGATTGATGTTTCAGTGGACTCCGTAGAAAAGTCTGGTGTTGAAATTAAACGGTTTCTTGTTATTTCTGATCCTGATGATGTGGTATACACAGTAGACTCTGTTGTAGAAGCAGCTGTTATTGGATTAGTTGTTTCTGATCCTGATATTGTGGTGTACACAGTAGACTCTGTTGTAGATGCAGATGTTGTTGGATTAGTTGTTTCTGATCCTGATATTGTGGTGTACACAGTAGACTCTGTTGTAGATGTAGCTGTTGTTGGATTAGTTGTTTCTGATCCTGATAATGTGGTGTACACAGTAGACCCTGTTGTAGATGCAGCTGTTGTTGGATTAGTTGTTTCTGATCCTGATATTGTGGTATACACAGTAGACTCTGTTGTAGATGTAGCTGTTGTTGGATTAGTTGTTTCTGATCCTGATATTGTGGTATACACAGTAGACCCTGTTGTAGATGTAGCTGTTGTTGTATTATTTGTTTCTGATCCCGATATTGGGGTGTACACAATAGACTCTGTTGTAGATGCAGCTGTTAGCCCTGAAAACTAAGAACTTAAAAGCAAACTGGCAATATAATTAGCTGTCCCCATGTGGGACAATAATACTTCTACAGATTTATAACGCTAAAATCCGGGATTCGATTCCCAGCGGTGAAAATATTAGATAGCCCACTGTGGTTTTACTATAAAACAAATAAATATTAAATAGCTTCAAATTTAAGCATGTTTGAATTTCGTTATATATATACCTTGAATATTAGAAAACAGTTAAAAAATCGCTACCGCATTTACTCATGTGAAGAAAAAACATTATTTCTGCACATTTATTACGAATTTACCTCATTTCTGATTAAAGTTATTATCAGTCTTATTGTAACATAATATCATATATCTTAAACAGAGTTTAAGTTCTATTTGTTAGATTTCTCCGTATGTCATATCCGGAACCTATTACATACATACAAATATATATATATATATATATAATTAATTGTAATATTACGTAGAACATGAAGAAGAAAAAAGAAAAAACGCAGCTACAAAACAGACATGTATCACCTGGACACACACCATAAGGTGGGTAGTTATCAAATGTGCCCTGGCGGAAGTAAGACCCAAATTGCCAACTTCAGGGACAGCTTTACTTTCTCCCCCATTCATGTATTGTATTCCAATGATTTCTTTTTCCTTACTGATTTTTTTTTTTTCGTGAGCAGCCATCTTCCCACATCTGGCTGCAGACAGCGAAAGGTGGTAAAGATGTATGACGTTGTGGGCTAGAGCACCCACATCTGCTCATCTTTCCTTTTTTTTTAAGAATGTTAGACCTGCGAAACTGAGGTTAAACTGGATAGACGGTGTACCCCAACGCAATTCGGGTGTTACTTCCTCCAGTACCTCAAAAAACCAGGGCACATTGCATAACTATCCACCTTATGGTGTGTGACAAGGTGATACATGTCTGTTTTTTAGCTTCGTTACAATTAATTACTCAGTACAGCACAAATTAAAGCTCCTAATAAAGTAATTTTTGTATACTTATTCACAACCAAAACCAGTTTAGTTATTTAATCTAACAGTGTTATTGTGAAAAATACTGTTTAAATTTAGGTAAAAAGGATGGTGGTAGTAAGAATGATTTATTTTTACAAATGATTATAGGTTATCACTATGAATATTCATAAAAATGTTTTTTAGTTAAATAAACGAAATAATTAATTTAACTAATGCTCTAATATAGTTAATAAAAACAATATCAACTGTTGATAAAACATTTGTTCTTAAATACGATATTATTAAAAGTGACAGAGACTTACTAACTAATGCTCTAATATAGTTAATAAAAACAATATCAACTGTTGATAAAACATTTGTTCTTAATTACGATATTATTAAAAGTGACAGAGACTTACTAACTAATGCTCTAATATAGTTAATAAAAACAATATCAACTGTTGATAAAAGTGTAAACATTTGTTCTTAAATACAATATTCTTAAAAGTGACAGAGACTTAATAACTAATGCTCTAATATAGTTAATAAAAACAATATCAACTGTTGATAAAAGTGTAAACATTTGTTCTTAAATACAATATTCTTAAAAGTGACAGAGACCTACTAACTAATGCTCTAATATAGTTAATAAAAACAATATCAACTGTTGATAAAAGTGTAAACATTTGTTCTTAAATACAATATTCTTAAAAGTGACAGAGACCTACTAACTAATGCTCTAATATAGTTAATAAAAACAATATCAACTGTTGATAAAAGTGTAAACATTTGTTCTTAAATACAATATTCTTAAAAGTGGCAGAGACTTACTAACACACATTTCACATAGTCATGATTATATATATTACAGCATTACAATATTTCAAACGGGTCCATCATTAATCGATGAAATTATAAGTTTGTGAACCATCTCTAGTGACTAATGGTAAGAGATTAATCTTTACATCTAAATTACAAAATTTATAAGTTTGTGAACCATCTCTAGTGACTAATGGTAAGAGATTAATCTTTACATCTAAATTACAAAATTTATAAGTTTGTGAACCATCTCTAGTGACTAATGGTAAGAGATTAATCTTTACATCTAAATTACAAAATTTATAAGTTTGTGAACCATCTCTAGTGACTAATGTAAGAGATTAATATTTACATCTAAATTACAAAATAGTGTGGGATTACTCTAATTCACCTCAGATTTGTTCTTCCGTTGCCAAGGGTTTTATTAATAACTGGGAATAAATACATTAAAACAATTGTAAGGTTGAGTTAGAAAGGCGCGAATAACAGCTACATTTTTTATTGTTCAGCGTTTCGTAGGTAGTACAATACCGCCTGTAATAGTAATAATGATAGTTTTCATTCAACTAAAAATGTCTTTTTAACCTTTGACATGGTATTGATATCATTAATTTCTAAACACTTAGAGTACACAATGGATGTTATATATGATATTCAAAAAATACCTTGCTTGAAATGTTAAAGATTAAATAACCTGCAATCTGTACTGTAATATCTTTATATATATGCCTAAAAGGTTAATATTTATGTGATATGTTGCTCCTTTTGTACTTATAATACAATATTAAAAAACAGATCACTTGTGTGGTTTCAATGAAAGGTGTAGATTCAGGGACAATCAAAACGCCGTCTTGTTTGATATATTCCTGCAATACGTGTGTATGAAACGACTACAGTCATTGTTGTCATAGTGACAAAGTTGCAATAATGTTTATTAATGAGATATCCTGGCTATGATATTGTTATTTGCCTCCCCACTCAATCTGTTCCTGCATCGTAGTTATTTCATAATTTTCACAGCATAATGAACACAATTATGCTTTTCTGATAAAAAATAAAATTAAGTCAGATTTAGAACTCGACGAAATGGACTGAACTTGACGAAGTAATATTCTGATTCAATTGTTGTAACAAATTGTTTTGTTATTCCTCATTAAAATCAGAAAAAAAATTAAATGTTACCTTTATTTAGAAGTTCTTTTTCATAAAAGCGTGTTTTAAACTTGGTGACTGCGAATTTAATAAACCATGTCACGATACTATATTTCGAATGTTGGAATTATTCCTTCCTTGCGCTTAATGTCTTTATTTTCAGCTAGGTTTCTATTTTCTACACATTTATTATCTTCGCGCTTTCATAATGTGTATTTCGATAGATAATTATTGATATATGGTGATAAATAATTCCTGCACATGACGTTGCTAGTATTATGTAAAAGTTTAAATAAAATCCATGCATATTAGTTGTATAGAATATAAAACTTTCCACTATTCCATCACGTGAACTATTAGGATTATAATATATATACTAGTGTCTATCTCGGATTGTTCAGTAATCCTATGAGACATCTCTCACAAATGTAAAAAAGACAGGATTGAAGCTGTGTTTTGAAAGCCTTCTTTCAAACCTTTCTTCTGTACATTGCTCAATTATTCTGACACAAGTCATTATAGCAGAATAAAAACCAACTACGAAACCACTTTTAATGTGGTGAAAAGATTTTTTTAAACACCTTACGTTTGTGTTTTTCCACATTTTAAAACAATTTTGCTAAATGATTATACGATTTTGTTACAATTGGCATAAGTTGCACGTGCCTTCGAATAATCCGTTTCAAGAAAGAACAGATCGGTTAATACTTAACATAATTTCGCATAATACTCTAACCACAGGTTCAGAATAAAACATATCTTGAAGTATAAACTTTACAATAAATGGGTGTAATATTAGTTTACGATACATATAGTAAAAGACTGATAATTCTCACTCACTAACGTTACAGTTCTCAATAAATTTGTAAAAATCGACTTACAGTCATATGTCCACATTACTTCAAACACATCAGATATGTTTCCTTATTCTTGCTACATTTATGTATATATATATATATAAGGTACGAGAATAAAATGGCTTTACATTTAGCTTCAGAAGTATTTTATGAATTTAAACTAACACTCTTACCTATCTGTATCCTCCATAATTCTAATGTGATAAAAATTACAGAAATCCGTAAGTTATTTGTCATCGCTAACCAGAAGTAGATCCTTTTCAATACGGCGCTGTAACCGGAAGTATCAAAACACAAGTCGTACGTCGGTAATCTTTACGACGTTTATTCTTTTTAATGGTAAACCTAACCCTCATTCACTAGAATTTGTCTCAATAAAATAATACATTATATAAATAAGTAATAATTTGTAAAGAGATTTCCTCATCTATCTATGGTCAAAATAACGGTTTTGGGAAGGGTACAAACACAAGCTTTCACGAAAGTTCTTGCGAAATAAAAACGTTTGGCCTTACGATAACTGATAAGGTTCGAAGCATTGGATTGGTTGTTGTTTTTTATTTATTTTTTAGCTAGATATATTACAGATCTTCAAGTGTCGTGACGTAATGACTTATGATGCAACCATCAAATGTTGAGCATTCTCTTTGGAGCATGCGATAACAACATTTGTTATCTAATACGGTAAGTTGTCTTATTTATAACATCTGAAATTTGTCTTGCTGTCCATTAATAGTTAAGAAAAATAGAAAATTTGAAAAACTCAAGGTTCCAGATTGTGAAAAATGCATTAGTAATAAAACTGGAAATTAGACCCAAGAGATGGCAGATTCCACACCTTTTGAACTTATGCTGAAATATTAGACAAATTTAAACATCGACAACGCTGTTGGACGGAATAAGCTATGCAGTAATGCCTAAGTAAGGATGAGGAGAACAAGTTAAATATGATCCTACTATAACACTTATATCTTTCATAATGAAGACAGTACACAATGTAGGTAATTTAGTCAAATCCATGAATATCTTTATGGACATAATATTAAAAAGTATTTACTTTTAGAATATAACAAAACATAATCACACATTTACTTTTAGAATATAACAAAACATAATCACACATTTACTTTTAGAATATAACAAACCATAATCACACATTTACTTTTAGAATATAACAAAACATAATCACACATTTACTTTTAGAATATAACAAACATAATCACACATTTACTTTTAGAATATAACAAAACATAATCACACATTTACTTTTAGAATATAACAAACCATAATCACACATTTACTTTTGGAATATAACAAAACATAAACAGACATTTACTTTTAGAATATAACAAAACATAATCACACATTTACGTTTAGAATATAACAAAACATAATCACACATTTACTTTTAGAATATAACAAACCATAATCACACATTTACTTTTAGAATATAACAAAACATAATCACACTAATTGAGGTTACTTCTCATATTACTTTGAATCCATCATAAGGAGTTATAGTTGCAAAAATAACAAAATCTTCTGCACAGTTTATTGAAGTTTAAAACAGAACTCTGTTTTAAAAACCATAAGCTGGAAATAAATTATATATTCCCTTAATAAAGCTTGGAATTAATACATAGAGGTTTGTTGTTTTATGGGTTGCTTGTCCACTTACACACTTTCACTTAATAAAGCTTGGAGCAATACATAGAGGTTTGTTGTTTTATGGGTTGCTTGTCCACTTACACACTTTCACTTAATAAAGCTTGGAACAATACATAGAGGTTTGTTGTTTTATGGGTTGCTTGTCCACTTACATACTTTCACTTGAAAATGACTCAGCAGGCAGGTCATCCAAGTCCTTAATGTTTCAATGTTATCTCAATTATTCGTACAGGATCTAAGAGTACCACAAGGCGGGTGAATTGATTTTGTCACATTTTTTAATTTTACGATCAATACCATCACTGAACAACTTTCTATAACAGTTGAAAGAAGACACTGGGTTGATGACCTTCATTTATTCATTGAATAAATTATTAGTATTTTGGGCATCAGCTCCAAACTGCTCAAATCGTGTGTGAGAAAGGATAATTACAAATTCACTATTAAGATATACTTTCTAAATATTTTAAATGTTATCACCGTTATACCGACATAGGAGGGTTTGTTGTAACAAAATCACATCCAAACCATCAGTATTAACTAGTAGTTAATCTACTTAAAGGTCGTGAATCAGTATAATCAAGTTGTTCGCTATGAACGATTATCCACGGGAACGCTACGTTATCTTTACGAAATGTAGGCTACATACACATATACATATACTTGCTTGGTTCCTGACTTACAGCGTGCCTTGTAGAAGTCTCTGATTCTTCACGCTGCCACGTAAACATGCTTGAGACCACAATCTACTGGAGCTTATCAAGTTATGTTGAAATGTTAGCCTTTCACTTTAACTCAACAACAAAAGAAATGTATATTAGAAAAGTTAATTATGAAGGTATGGCATACTTTTTTATGCAGTACATTATTTTAACGTATATTTTAGGGATTACGAAAAGCTAACAGAGTTAAAGGAAGATAAGAACGACAAAGGTGAAGATCGTATAGAAAGAAAATAATTAACATACTACAAGTTATTCATCCTCACTTCCACTAATTAGAGCAAATTAATCAGCTCGAGTGTAATGGTGATAAGCTGTGATTTTCGTTTTTCTATCATTATTATTGCTGTATTTTCTCATTTTGGGTTTGTTTTTTTTCTGTTAAGCACAAATATATACGATGGGCTATTCGTACTCTGCCCACCGTGCGTATCGAAACACGATTTTTAGCTCTATAAGCCCTCAGACTTACGGCTGAGCCACCGGGAGATTTCTCTAGTTTGATAGTTGGAGTGGGCGTAGTATTGGTTAAAATGTCGTACCGCATATCGAAAGGTCCAAGTTTCAAGACATGATGACACTGAACCCGCTACGCACTCTTTCTTAGCTGTTATTTACTTGATTTCGGATATTTGCGCAGAGCTACACAAGAATGAAAGCCGGTCCTATTTTTGACCTGATAGATTAGAGGAAAGTAAGATAAAGAATAGCACCCACCACCAACCCTTGGGCTCTTCTAATCAAATAGTTGGAATCATCAATCTTATAACGGACCCACGGCCTCATAGTTCGGAGCAAGAATTTGGAGGAAACAGAAGGCAAACCATGAAACCTAGAATCCACACGGCAAGCTACTGTCTATTACGTTGTACAGATCATACATTCAAATAAATTATTTGAGGGGGGATGTCCATTAGTTGGGCAAAATTGGGGGTGGCTATACCTGAACCCAAGGGGTTTGCGCATAAGGTACTCACCTGGAAAAAATGCATATTTCCATTTATTTTCTATTTGTTAACCTTATAATAGGATAACTAAAATAAACAGATTTTTTTTCTCTTCAAAGAAGTTACCATAAAGAAAAACCGCCCAACATGAAGCGCAATTTTTGAACACCTAAGACATATATTAATAACAATATGCATGCATAAAGCATAATAATAATAAAAATAAGTCAAGGCCTAAGATAGAAGGTACTAAAAGAGAAATGTACATTGCATTAAAACATTCAACAATATATCTGAATAAATTTCAATTCAGTTACTTTCATTCTGCAGCATACAATTTTTGCACGAACGTTTTCCTTGTAATTGGGAGTTACAAACGAAAGGCTATCAGAGGCGTTTTAGGTTTTATCGAAAACCTCCAAACATTTAATGGCACAGGTATGGAAATTGAGATATACAGAGAGATCCTATTAGCTGATACGAAAATACGCATCATGGTAACGAAATAAGGGCTCAATCTATATAAATATGACAGTACTGTCTGTTGTGTGTCCATAACTACTTCGCAAAATTGGTATGGAGGTTCATTAGTTCTATGCGGGGTGCATACAAATTTTCAGTTTTGCGATTTTTTTGGGTGTTATTGCGTGTGTGTGTGTGTGTTTTACCACTACTTTACCCCTCTTGATGGACTTTCACCAAATTTCGCAGGAAGATTTATTGGGTCCATGCAGAGAAACATGCAAGTGTGTGAGTTCACACTTTGTGTTTTGCAGTTGTTATGAGCGTTTTTGCGAGATTTTTATTTTATTTTTCAATTACATATAAAAGAAACAAATTTTCATGTTCTAAGATAACCTTTCATTAATCATGAATTCATATAACTTCCGTCCAAGGGAAGGGCACTTCAGCTAGTATAAAATAATTATAAACAACCGATATCATTATCATTGCTTTAAAGGGGATATAATTTATTTAAACAAAAAATATTAATATCCTGGTTGTTCATTAATTTTTACTAACAAAAATTAAATATATTTAATTAAAAAGACAATACATTATGAGCTAAGGACGAACAGAAATTAACTACTTTCTTCTATTTTACTAAGGACGAACATAAATTAACTACTTTCTTCTATTTTACTAAGGACGAACGGAAATTAACTATTTTCTTCTATTTTGTTGAGGACGAACAGAAATTAACTATTTTCTTCTATTTTACTAAGGACGAACATAAATTAACTACTTTCTTCTATTTTACTAAGGACGAACGGAAATTAACTATTTTCTTCTATTTTGTTGAGGACGAACAGAAATTAACTATTTTCTTCTATTTTACTAAGGACGAAGAGAAATAAACTACTCTCTTCTATTTTACTAAGGACGAACAGAAATCAACTACTTTCTTCTATTTTACTAAGGACGAACGGAAATTAACTACTTTCTTCTATTTTACTAAGGACGAACAGAAATCAACTACTTTCTTCTATTTTACTAAGGACGAACAGAAATTAACTACTTTCTTCTATTTTACTAAGGACGAACAGAAATTAACTACTTTCTTCTATTTTACTAAGGACGAACAGAAATTAACTATTTTCTTCTATTTT